CAGAATAAAGTTAATAATTTATTTGATCGACTTGCATTCACAGTGCAGTCAAACAGGCAGCAGAGCTCAAGCAGCAGCGTCAATTTGCGCCACTGGCAGCAAGTGAACACCAATTTGACGCTGAATACAAAAACGAATGGTGAAAAAAGTAAAATAAGAAAAAGAAAGAGGAATTGAGTAACGATGAGAAAGAAAGCAAAAAAGAACAACTAAATTGTCGAAAAGAAAAAATAGGGCGACTTGGCACTCAGACGACACCGAGAACCGAAACGGCGACGAACAGTGAAACCAGAAGTCCCAGCAGGATCCTAGTGTTCGCAGTGTTCAGTGAATCAATAACGGCACTTCGATTTCAATTTAAATAAGTCTAACATTCATGTTCAGGCTACATAGCCCATTTCTCATTGCACATTCAACGTCGCTACTAGAGCACAGCTAGTCTGATGATAAATAAATAAATAAATAACGGATTGCACTGGGGCACAATGTACAAAAAACAGAGCAAAAAAGAACCTGAGCAGAAGTACACTTGTGCCATCAGAAGCAGTATTTGCCCGCCGCGTGCATCAAAGTCAGTTGAATAAATATAAATAAATTATTCACTCACATTGGGCTCAGATTGAGTTACAAGCATTCGATTACATTCGAAAGTGTTCAGCGGAATGGATCGAGATCGAAGACAACACTTTGCCGTTCCTGCTCTGATCTTGCGATCAACATTCGAAGCTTGATCAGGCGTACTGGAAGAATCAAGCTGACTAGGTCTAGAAATGCATTCTCCCGTGGGCAAAAAAAGTCGACTAATGACATGGCGAAACTGCCAACTAAAAACTATCCTCATTTGCTGTACCAGCTGTGCAGTAGGTATTAATTAAAATACTAAGCCTTCCTTGTTTTCCCTACTAGTTGATTAATTATGCCTGCAATGTCTCACTGAACAGGCACACCGGTAATCAAGCGCTTCTATGAAAACATTTGCAAAAAGTGTGCTCTAGAAAATGGCACATCAAAGAATATACTATGGCGCACACAAAACAGTAGAAAGATGATTCAGACAATAAAGCAAATTATAATTAATCCATACAAAAGAAACAATTCTTTCAATACAAAAACACAAACCGCAAAAATGATAACACTTTAACACCAGGTTAGGTATTGCAAAGGACATTACTTTTTCAATATCAAATTCATTTTCAAAATGCAATGCAACAAATAATTAAATGCATTATAAAGAGAAACGTATAGTTCAAGTTTGATAAAAGTAATCAATTTATACGTCAATGTATGAGCCGAACAAAACAAATTGAATTTAAAAATTAATTGATAAAAGGTTAGACGTACTAACCTGTCCATTGGAATCAATACAAAAGAACTGCTTTAAGGAACATCTGGTCAGTATTTGTAGATGAATGGTAGCAGCATGGCAAACCCAATTTAGATGAAAAAAGAAATGAAGTGAACAAGACTTGCCTTGCTGATCCGAATAGAACATCTTCCAAAATCAATTGTCGTAACGATTGTTATTCTTATTCATAAGAAAAATCAAATTGCTTCATTTCTTCAAATTCACATCGAAGAAGTCCAATCAAATGATCATCCAGCTTCTGCTGTTTGTTAATAAGTAAATGTATTAGCTTGGCAGCGAAACGGTACTTGGCTCGTTTCAAACTAATCCCATCCACATCTTCTCCTCCTTCTGAAGGCCTTTCTGAGGCAAGCTTCAAAGCAATAGCTTTCGCCACTTCTACTATTGTTTCGTCAAGGCCTGACATTTGCGCCAATTCAATTCCGTAAAAACGCTCTTTCGTCGGCCCCGGAAGAAGAATGTGCGGATATTTGCAAACTGTATTCTCTTTTAATTAAACAAATCATTAAGTAGAAAAGAAAAAAGTTAGTAAAGCCCAAATAGACAGTAGAAAAGCTGGCAGAAGGCCAATAATAATCAATTACCTTCGACTATTTTGGATGAAAAATGATAATTAGTTACGTTCAAGTAAACTTTGGTAAGATTTGTCAGCTCAATAATGTGAGTTGCAAAAAGAGTATAAGCCTTGGAAGAGAGCAAAGACTCGCAAATTGCCCAGCAAACAGAAAGAGTTCCATTATACACGCTTCCTCTGCCAAGCTCATCGATTAGAATCAGACAGTTTTTAGTAAGATTCTGTTGCAAATGGAATAAAATTAATCAAGTAGTATATGGAATGCACAACGCAATATGCATTCAAAGAAAAACAAATAAAAAAGTTGGTAAAAAGAGACTTACGTTGAGAATGTAGTTAAGCTCTTTTACTTCGACCATAAACGAAGAACTGTTCAGTTGCAGATTATCATTAAGGGCCATTCGGGTAAAAAGTTTATCGCAAATTCGAAAAGTGGCCAACTCGGCAGGCACAAAAGAGCCAATCTGCGCCATTATCTGCAAAAGTGCGGTTTGCTTGAGAAACGTCGTCTTACCACTCATATTAGGCCCAGTAATGATGTGAAAGTTTAAGTCATCAGTTATCTGGACGCCGTTTGGCACTGAGAGAGACATGTTTTCCAATACTGGGTGAATGCCCTGCAAACAGAAGTTAGACGACGACTAAATACCTCGACAACTGCTTAACTTACATTGACAATCTCGGTGTAGCGACCAAATTGAGGTCTGATGTAATTGGAGCATGAACATTGATAAGCAAAGGAGAAAGCCAAATCAGCATTTGCCACAATATCCGTCAAGGTATAGAAGCAGGAAATTTTGGTGCGGATATCGTTAATCAACTTGGTAATTATGCAATCGCTTTGCAAGTAAATCTCTTCAATCGCCTTTTTCGCTCGAGCGTTCAGCATTAGAACATCGTTCGTTGTAAAGGAAATAGAATTCTTGGTCACGCTAACATCAAAAAAGATGGCAGGCAATTTTAGTGGTGGTTGGTTTAGTGAGTGCTTGACCTGCAAGTAAAATCCTTTTGCAGTTGAATTTCCAATGGAAAGATTCTCAATGTTGTACTTGGTTTCTACATAAGGATAGGAAAACGTCAGCACAAATTTCATACAAGCTTTAATTGAGTGGCAACAAACGCACCATATGTTCTGGCGAGGGCGATTAGGTCATCAATTGCGTCAGAGTAGATGCTTCGGGCCAGATCCAATAGAGGGTTGAATTTGTCTTTAATTGCAAAGCACTTTTGCAGATTCATGTTGGCATTTCCTTTGTTAAACTTGGCTTCGCAGTTTATTACTTGATCGATCATTTCTTGTATTGATTTAAAGTCGGCGTCTTTTAACTGGTCAATGTATTCTTTAAATAGAAGATGATTGCATTCTTGCAATGTTGTTCGCAGTTGGTCCACTAGTGAAACGACATGCTTAATGCTTATCGCGAGATCAATCTTTTTTTCAGCGTTTCGTGTAGAAATCGAATTGGCTGCGCTGGGATCTTGAACCAAGTGAACCAAAAGTTGATCTAAATCTACTGATCCAAGACTAGTGAGAACTACATTGAAATCGTTGAAAATGTCCATAGAGCTAGACACTGCTTCCACCATGTCCAGTCTATTGTTGATCAAGCACAGGTCGGTAGAAGGCTGTCAAGAAAATGTATTTAGCATTTAATAAAATTCAAGTTTTAAAACTTGCCTGTAAAATGTTGGATCTCAAAATGACATAGCCAGATTTAGTTTTCGTACGATTAATTGCACCAAACAGAGTGTCATTGCTTTTAGGATCGGATAAATTAATGAGAAGCTCGAGAACTTTAGCACTTGTCGGATCTATGATCATAGTGTTGCATGAGCTCTCGTAGACAATCTTCACTGTCTTGGAAGCATATTTAATCTAAAATAGAAAAAATTTAAACAGATTTGCTAAACAGCATATTGCACAGTAAATACCTTTTTCTCCAAGTAGACATACTGCAAAAGAGCAGAGCAAGCAGAGAGGCAGTAGTACTTGGACTCTAGTTCAATATCGATCCCGGTGTAGTCTTTGTAGCAAAGCGTTTTAACAAACTCCAACCCTCTCTTTTCATTAAAAAATCGCCTGTCAAATGGGCAAAAGTTGGTGTCGGGGAAGCTTTCCACCAGTGAGGACATCATCATGTTGTTTTGGGTGAGTGTGTTTGGATAAATTATTTGGACAGGCTGGCAAACATGACACTTCATTTTGAGTGAATCAAATGAGCAATTATCTCTGAACTGTACTAAATGAAGAATGGGGCTGTTCAGATCGATGTACGCCAAGCCGATTTCGCCTTTGGCTTTGCCGCGGCCTTCGACTACTGACATGATGACAGAAGAAAACAAGTTGGATGTCGTAGAGATGTCGTGAACGGTGCGAATGTTGCCCCGCTGCTGACGGGAGCTTGAATTGTCGAAATTGTTGGACATGATGCTCAGAGTGAGTGAAGAGACGAAAGTAAAACCGCCGATTCTTTAGTCGGGACTACCTTTTAGAACACATCTTGTGAAGGCACAATTTTAAGTTTTGGAAGCAGGTGTTGCTAGCTTCTTGAAGTGAAAATCTGGACCGCTTGAACTTTTTGGATGTTCTTGAAACAACACACTGTCGGCTATTGTTACCTAGGTAGGTTCCAACTTTAACTTGAAAATTGCCAAAAAATCAAGGTTACCTCGACAATTTATTAATTTATTTAAAATGGCGGTTCATTTATTATTTACAGAGTAAAAGTGCAAAAGAATTATCTCGTCTCAATAGTACTGTAACTGATAAACAAGAATTGCGTACAAGTTTGTTTTTCAGAGATTACCAGACCACTTATCCCCTCTTGCCGAGCCCATTTAGAAGCAATTAGCAAAATTAATTGTGACTTGTAAATTATTTAAAAGTGTGCTGACGCAAATGGCGACTGCAGTGGCACTTAATAATTGAACGAAAAGGGTTGCCGAATGCATTTTCTACCATTCATTGCCATGGTTTCAAGTAGAACCAGAGTCTGCTCACCATAAAAGCCAGTGCAAACCTAGTGACCAGTGTTATTAGAGTCTTGCGTCTGCCTCACCATGAAAGGCCTTTTAGGCGTCTGTCTTGTGTTTTTGTGTTCCCTAGTCGTCCCTAGCTTAGGACAGGATGTCGTCAACGGGGATTGCCTTGATTTTCAAGCATTCGACTACTTTCGCTACTCTCCCGGCATCGGCTATGACCCCTTCAAAGGCATCGATGGGCCTCAATGTGCGGAGCTGTGCTCAGAGAGCTCAATGCCGCATGCTGGCGTTGTCCTCAACAAGTACTGTCTCTGTGCCCGAGAGGCTGAACTTGAAGCCATCAAGAGCATTGCCAAAGTGACCGGCGAACTGTGCAGAACAAGTGACGACTACGTCAAGTACTTTAGAGGAAAATCGAAAAACAAAATTGAGAACCTCTCTGTTAGACCAAACCCTGAGGTCGCAGTCATTGACCAGGAAGTGCTTTTTGACATTTCCTCTTCCAATACGAACATTGAGTACTCGCTCGATTACGGCGATGGCAGTGATCACACCGAATGGTCATCGGCAAATGCGCTCCGCCATCGCTACTACATGTCGGGCACCTTTGTGATTAGCGTCCACGCGAGACTGACTGAAAGGCCACAGCAAGTGGTTACCGAAAAGTCTTCAATTCGAATTGAAGGCGAGGTTCAGAATGACCACCTCAACATGACTTGCCCCACGGTGGTCGAGCCCGGTGATCTGGTCGACTGCAACATCACCATCTCCATGGGCACTCAGTTGACGATGAAGATGGACTTTGGTGACGGAATCTCGACAGCCATGATTGACTTACCAGGTACACCTTGATAAGGTACACTTCACTATTCACCACATTTTTCTCCCACGACAGACATTCCAATCAAACCAGTTGGCATCAGCATCCCGCAAACTCCCACTAGCGAGTTAATCATTGAGACTGATCGAGCCCAAGACATGAAGGCGTTCGAGTTGGTCGTCACTCCAGTTCCGATGGGCACTATTGATCTACTCGGCTCCATTCTCGGCATTGAGGGCTACGGCGCCAACTCAGGAAAAATGGACATTCTCGTAAGTGTGTAATTCAATCTCTGGTAACTCTACTAAAATTCAATTTCAGATTCTTCGAAAAGTGTGCATGGAAGACAAAGACTGCACCGGAACGTCAGTGTCATGTTACGATCCGGGGGCGCTCTGTTCCTGTGCCAAGACCTGCAGCAACGAGTGCAAGCCGTTTCACAAGAAAAAGATACATTTCCAAAAAGTGAAAAATTTTGAGCTAACCATCACTGAAGGGCAGTTTTACCTTGCATCCCACACCTCTTTCCGCATATTTTCCGACGATCTCATTGGCATAAAGATGCAGGACGCAAGGCTGGCTCATCGAAAGCTGCATCCTGGCGAAACGCCCGACTACAAAATTGAAATGAGCAGCGACACAATGACAGTGTTTGACGCGTCCAAGTTTGTGCCCATCGAAGACCGCAAGTTTTACGTTCGACTGATTGTCAGTGAGCCGCTCACCTTCACGATGCCTCACGTGTATGAAAACAGTGGAAACTTTTTGATAAAGTTTCTTCTTAAGAACACATTTCGAGAAAAGGACAAGGAAAAGGAGATTAGACGTGACAACTACATTTCCATTCAGAGCAGCATCTCAAAGATGCGCCTCCTAGTTACGCCGCCAAATGCGCCCGTCGGCCAAAAGATTGACATAAACGTTCAGCTGAGCAAGGGCTCCAACATCAAGCTCATCTGGGACTATGGAGACGGCAACCAGGTGACGGATCACATATCAAGTAAGTTCAGTAGTGGTTCAGTAGCACAGTGAGCAAAGTGTTTGACATTCTTGTTTGTAGTTATTCGAAACAACCAAAAGTTCATCAAGTCGTACCAGTACGCGACACCGGGCGTCTACTTAATCAAAGTGACAGCCACTAACCTGCAGGGCAACACCTCAGCCGAGCATGAGATTGTCGTCGAGCACCCAGTGCTCAAGTACTGGAAACTGACCAACAACTCGCCGAAGCTTCTCCCTGAACCTGTCAAGTTTACCCTGTCGTATCCTGAGGAGCAAATCTTGCCCACCAACGCCACCATGATCATCAACTTTGGCGATACTAAGCGGCACATCTGGAAGGTGCCAGAAGACGCCGAGGACTGGACGGGGGAGTATGAAGTGTCTCACGTGTACGAAAAGTCGGGAGTCTTCAATGTCGATGTGGAAATATTGAACGTAGTGTCAAAGCTTCCCCGTCGATTTCAGGTAATTTATTTATTTGACCACGGCAGTTTCATTCAACTAATGGTACATTCGTTCTCAGGTCGATGTGATGCGGCGAATTAGCGGTCTTAAGGTGAAAGCAACACCCATGGTCAACACTACGGGCCTCCCAATTTCCAGTGAAACGCACTCAGAAAGCCTACTTCCCGTAGGGGCGTCTCTCAAGTTTGACATAAGCGTTGAGAGCGGCGATGTGGAGTACTATCTGGTTCGAATGAATGACCAACTGTATAAGGTTTGTTGATGAGCAAGTTAGTTTCCTGTCATCTAAGCACATGTCTCTACTACTAGAACACCACTTTGGACTCCTTCAATGTGACTTTTCTGGACGCCGGCGAGTACAATCTGACATTCAATGGCTTCAATCACATTCAAAAGCTATCCAAGCCAATTTACCGCCACATTTCTGTGCTTGAACCAGTCGGCGGCCTCGAGGTGGTTGATCTGAGCAATGACACCACTGAGCCTGAAACGAAGCGCCTTTCCGTTGAGATTACCCACCTGGGCACCAACTCCTGTCTGCTGGTCGATTACGGGGAAAAGTCGCGCGAGGACTTGGCCACCTTTGGTGACGCCATCAATTGCCAGCGACTCTTTCCCTCCATCAAGAGCGTTCACAATCAGACACTGACACGAATAATGGAGCTAAGTAAAAAGTACTACAAGCCAAGGGACTACTTTCTCAAGTTTACACTGGCAAATCGCCTGTCAAGAGTCGTTCGTGAGCTAATGGTCACAGTGCTAGGTATGCTCGTTTTGTTGTTAAACTTTTCGTAACATAGTTTCAACTGACCTTCATTACCAGAAATTGACTGCAAGCCCCCGATAATTCTCATCAAGAATCCAGTCAGCTACTGGAAGGGGGGAACTCACGTGTGGCGTTCAAAGGCAGTGCAGCTGTACTCAAAGACTCTGGTTGACTGCAATGCCACGACGACCATTACCCGAGGCTGGACGGCGTTCAAATTGCACGACATTACCGGTCAGGTGGTTAAAGCCGTTGATCTTTCCGATCTCGACTCGTTCAGCAAAAGTTTTCTCTATGTGCCCGCCTTTTACCTTAAGCCAGGCTATTACATGTTTCAATTTTCTCTCAACATGACGAGCCCGAATCCGCATCCAGTGCTTCCCTTTTATGCCTCTGCGAGCACTCATGTCAAAGTGGTTCCATCACCCATCATTGTCAGGTATGCATTCATTTGGTAGAACGAAAAGGCAATTTATGCATTTGATGATTTTCGAAATAGGCTCACTGAAGGAGCACAGTCGCGAGTTGTTCGCGGTTGGGGTCAACGGTAAGCCTTAAGTGGTGCTAGGCAATGGCAGCAATAACCAAACAAATGAACTCCTAAACAGCATCACCCTATCACCTCGCAAATACTCAATTGACCCTGATGACGAACGAAACAAGTACTTTGACATTAAGTGGTACTGCCGTCGCCTGCCCGATGAGCAGTTTTTCAACTTACTTCCCGACGAGCGGCAAAACTTTTCCGATCCCATCTACGACCGGGCCAACATTGACGAAGAATGGGGCGACGACGACGGCGGCGGCTGCTTTGGCCACGGCCCTGGACGCATCAACATGAGTGATGTCGATGAGATTGACTGGAACACGACTTACTTTCGCAAGCCAGACATGTCTTACGAGGTGCGCAAAGCTTTTTGTCAAGTTGTCATTTTTAATGAGCACCATTTCTTTTCAGATTGCCGTTCAGATTATTCCACCTGACCGAGAGGCAAGTTGCAGCAGCTAATAATAGTCTAGTTTTTAACGCCCAACACTTTGTTTCCTTGCAGCCATCTTGGGGCGCCCTTCAGCTGGTGCTCCTCAAGTCCAAGCCGCCCTCGGTGGTGGTGCAGTGCCAGACGAAGGCTCTGTGCTATCCCCACTATCCGATTGGACAGAAGATCAACCCAGTTCGAGTAGGTCTCCTGGGCAGCTGTACCGAATCCTGCGACGGCCCACTCGCCTACAGTTGGAACATATACGGGGCCGACAATGGCAGCGATGTGCACCTGGCGGATGCCAAAAAGTACGTCGTTGGCTTCAACGAGCCCACCATGGCCCTCGGCATTGCCTTCTTTGCCGAGTACTACCCTCGCTTCAAAGACTTTTTCGTTCGCCTGACGGTGGAGAATGAAATCGGCCTGAAGGGTGAGTCGGACATTTTTCTGCACATCAACAAGCCACCCGAAGGTGGTGAGTGTTCACTGAAGAACAAGAACGTTCGTGCGCTGCTTGACAAGTTGAGCGTCAAGTGCTCAATGTGGACTGATCCTGATGAAAAGGTGAGTGCGCCCTTACAAGTATCTGTACATTATTTTCTAGTTCTAGTAAAGGTAGTCCCATTTCACTGAAAAATGATGTTTATGTTAACGTTAATTCAAAAGAAGTTCAAAAGAAAGATAAGAAAGAGTAGAAATGGTTCTAGGGCTTACTGTAAGTGGCACCTGAGTGAGTAAAGCACAAGTTTTAGCTTTGTCAGTCTCATCGGTTGAAAGGAGAACACTTACCCTTGGGAGCTTGGCGCTTGTGACCGCCACGGCGGACTCAGATTCGGTAGACGAGGACGCCCTGCTTGGCCTTGTATCCCAGACGGCGAGCCTGGACGAGTCGGGTAAAGGAACAGGTGGGCAACGGAAAAAACGAAACGGTGAAGCGATCGTTGAGTTTTGTTGTTGTGATCCGAAAATTTTTCGCCGATTTTTTGCTGTTCAGAGAATACGTGCAGAACGTGTTACCCACCTTAATCTAACAACTATTCCACTATTGACTACCCGATGATAAGCCCATTGAGTACTACGCCTTTTGGATTCGCAACGTGGCGGACGGAGTGCTCAGCTATTTGATGTACGGTCCGGACAAGGATGTACAGCTCATTCTGCCATATGGCAACTTTACTGTGGGCGCCGACATCAAGGACAAAGAGGGTGCACTGACGCGAGTGGAGATGACCAACCTGACGACACTGCTGCCCAGTCAAGAGGACTATGACCAGTTTCTCTCCTCAAGAGCGCTCGACAATACCGACGCATCCGGGGACCAGGCGATGATGAGCATGGTCGCACAGGCACTCTCTTCCCTGATGAACATCAACTTTGGTCGCAAGGTGCGCAATGGTACAACCACTACGACCACCACAACCACCACGACCACTACAACTAGCGTAAGTATTAAATGTCAGAGACTTGTAATACATCGTGTCATCTGTTTGCATTTACAAATAGTCTTATGACTACCTGGACGAAAATGAAATTGAACGGCAAGCGCAGACAAAGGCACGAATGGTCAAATCAGTGAGTGCCATGATGAACGTTGACACGCTCAATTCTCTGGAGCAAGTCGGAAGTGCTCTGTAAGTTGAACACGAATGAGTGTTAATCATTATTCACCAAAACCACACTGCCTTCAACAGAACGGCACTGGCTGGCAAAGGACAAGGCGTGGACAATGAAGCAAAGGAGGTAATCATCCAGCTACTCAATAAAACAGTGACGATGGCGCAGAGTATTCAGGTGGAATCACCTGAGCAGCTGCTTGATTTCTGTCGCTTTGCCGTGGGAACCATGGGTGGCATTGTTAGCGTAAGTGTAAACTTTTCAAAAGACTTACTCTAATTAATCGGCAATACAATTACAGCGAATGACGGAGCAAATTGTTTCCGGGATTGTCCTCCCCACTGACCAGACGAAAGCTTGGAGCCTGGATTACAAAGTGGAAGTCCCGGACGTTGACGATGAGCCAGGTAAGAAATGCTCAATGCTTTGCTGTGATTGCTAGGGCTACCAATAATCTTTTTTTCTCTGAACTAGACTACATTATGGACGCCAAAACATCGGTAGAGGATGCACTGAAAAAGGCAGTCATCCGGGCGGAAAGAATGGCCGGTGAAAAACAAATTCAACAAATGGTCGACTTGACAATCGAACTTGTACTGGCCATCCTCAAGAACATCGTAGTCGGCGAGGAGCCGATTCAGCTAATTTCGCCCAGCGGACTGACCATGACCATTGCCATGTACCCGAAAGGCTCCATCTCCAACAAGGTCATCAAGCACGGCGGATCAACGTACGTCTTTCCGCACGTCTGCGACATTCTGGTGAACACAGAGTGCTTCGGCAATGAGACGCTCGGAGTGTTGGCCGTCTCCTGGCCATCTATTTTGCAGTCTTTCGGGAACAGCGTCGACCTGCTGTCTGAAGACACAAAGACCTTGCAGTTGTTAGTCATCAACCAGTCACTGTCCATTGTCGACGTGCGCAACACCACCAACCCCTTCAGCATCATTGTCCCACGAAAATCGGGCGAAGCTGCAGAGGCCGCCGGCGAAGAGAACACTCTTCCCGAGCCAACCCACGTCACACCCAGGCCCAAGTTTTACGAGTCAATGGTCTACCATCAGGTGATGGTGGAAAAGGCAGACTCGGCGGTGAACATTGAGATCAACCCGAGCAACAATGATTCGGAGATTCTGCTGTACATCAAGTTTCGCGAAAAGCCGCTCTTTGACCACTACGACATGCTCATTCCGCTGCGAGCTGTAAAGACCTGCAATGGCGAGTCGTACGACATTTTCCTCTCGAACCAGGTCATCAAAAACCAAACCGGTTTCCTCTATGTGGGAGTAGTCGAGGTGGACAGAGAAGAGCTGCTCAAGTCGCCGGAGAGTTATGTCCTCGATGAGATCATCATCAACGAGGACGTCACCGCCAACTACAGCATTACCAATTACACAGTGCCCGGCCTGATGCGCGACTACACCACCAACTACTCTATGCGAATCTTTACCTCTGGATGCTACTTCTACGATTACCAACGCAAGATTTGGTCAGCTGAGGGCTGTCTCGTTGAGTCGGCCAACTACGCAATGACTCACTGCAAGTGTAATCACTGTAAGTTCTTGAGCATTGAGACAATCCCTTAACAATGGTACTAAACAACTTTTTTTGCCACAGTGACCTCATTTGGCTCGGGCTTCTTTGTAATGCCTAACTCGATCGACTTCTCCTACGTGTTCGCCAATGCCGGCTTCTCCGACAATGTGACCATCTACATGACCATTGTCATCACCCTCAGTCTGTACGCCTTGATGATGGTGTGGGCGCGCAAAGAGGATCGCAAAGACTTGATGAAGTTAGGCTCGACGCCGCTGCCTGACAATGAGGCCACAGCCAAGTACCTCTACGAGATTATCGTCTACACTGGGGACAAGGACGGCGCAGCGACCGACTCCAAGGTTAGCTTTATCCTTTCGGGCGAGGATGAAGAGACCGGCGTTCGTCGACTGGAGGATCCTTTCAGAACTCCTTTCCGGCGAGGCGAAACGAACTCCTTTGTGATGGCTGTTCCCAAAAAGCTGGGCCGACTCAACTACATTCGCATCTGGCATGACAACAGCGGTGAGGGCAAGTTCCGCAGCTGGCTGCTCAGTTTCATTGTCGTCAAGGACGTGTACACCGGGGAAAAGTACGAGTTCATCTGCAACAAATGGCTGGCAGTTGAAAAGGACGACGGCCTCATTGACCGACTGNATCTGGCATGACAACAGCGGTGAGGGCAAGTTCCGCAGCTGGCTGCTCAGCTTCATTGTCGTCAAGGACGTGCACACCGGGGAAAAGTACGAGTTCATCTGCAACAAATGGCTGGCAGTTGAAAAGGACGACGGCCTCATTGACCGACTGTTGCCGGTGGCTGGACGAGACGAGGCGACCGAGTTTTCGCACCTCTTTCACCAGACCACCCAGAAGAACCTGGCTGACGGGCACCTGTGGTTTAGCATTTTCATGCGTCCTCCCCGGTCACGATTCACGCGCATGCAGCGAGTTTCCTGTTGCATGGCACTGCTCTACCTTTCCATGCTGGTCAATGCCATGTGGTACGAGAGAGTTCCCTCGAAACCAGGCGGCTCTTCGCTCGAGTTTGGCCCTTTTTCCCTCTCGCCGGAGCAGATTGGCGTTGGCTTCATGTCAAACTTGATCGTCTTTCCACCAACGTTTCTAATTATTTTGCTCTTCCGCAAGTCACGCCTCAACCGCCTGCGACCATCGAGAATTNAGAGTTCCCTCGAAACCAGGCGGCTCTTCGCTCGAGTTTGGCCCTTTTTCCCTCTCGCCGGAGCAGATTGGCGTTGGCTTCATGTCAAACTTGATCGTCTTTCCGCCAACGTTTCTCATCATTTTGCTCTTCCGCAAGTCACGCCTCAACCGCCTGCGACCATCGAGAATCACCGAGGCGCTGAAGAAGCAACGGGTCTACCTGGATCAGATAAAGGGCAGCGGCAAGTCGAGCTCCACCTCACTGCAAAAGCAGTCGAGCAAATCGGACACCGACAGTGTCTCCAGTCTGTCGCAGCAGCTGCCACAGCGGTCACCTCGAACCTCGAACAAACGGAATCGTTTCACCTTGCCGCACTACTGTCGCAGTATCGGCTGGCTTCTGTGCAGCCTCTCCATCGCCGTGTCCATCTTTTTCCTGTGGGCGTATGGCATTCAGTTTGGCGATGAGAAGACACGCAAGTGGATCACCTCACTGATTGTCTCCTTCTTCGCCTCCATCCTCGTGACGCAGCCGATCAAGGTCTTTCTCACCGCCATCATCCTCTCGACCATCTTCAAGTCACCTGACGTGGATATTGACGACAGCGAAGAGGACGAGGATGACATTGACTTGACGATGCTGCAAGAGGACGAAGAGTGGCTGCACGACTCCTACTCAAACAGCATGAACCGCTCGCGCATGTATCGATCGCCGAACCTAGGCGTACTGGAGAAGATTAAAATGCAGCGACTGAAGGAGCTGAAAATGATGGTCATACTGAAGGACATCTTCTCGTACATGTGCTTCCTTTGGATTCTCACCGTCATTAGCTACGGCAATCGTGACCCCAGTGCATACCTCATGAAGGAAACGCTAGTCAAGACCTTTATTGAAGGCCAACAGAACGGAGGCGTTAACTACATGGACGTACGTGCCCACTGATATTGTAAAATGCCGATTCTTTATTAATGACGTCCTTTTTCCGTCAACAAAAACAATAGATCAAAACGCCCGAGCAAATGTGGAAATGGTGCAATCAAACGCTGATACCCAGCCTACTTATTGGCGACTGGTGAGTCAACAAAAAAACGCTGCCATCTTTTCACTGTTTCTTTCTTGCTGCAGGTACAATGGATACAAGCCGCTGGGACTACGTGGCTTTCTCAATGGTAAACTTTGGATTGTTGTCCATAAGTGGCTCAATGTCAACTTTTTGTTTTTTCTCCTAGATCGCGTCAACCGCATGATGGGCTACGGAATCCTCCGGCAGATTCGCGTTCAGCCCAACACATGTCAGGCGGAGCTGCACTTTCAAAAACTGATCAACCGATGCCGCGCTTTTTCAAACATAATCAATGAGGACCGCATGAGCTACCACCCGGGATGGCTGGGCGAGTCAGAGCACTCCTACGTCAATGAGTCGTTGCCGCTGAGCAAAGCCGGATTTTTAAATCCGTCGAAGAGTAAGAAAGACGAGTGGAACTACCGCTCTCCCTCCGAACTGGACGGCCTTCCCTTTCTCGGCAAGCTGGACGTCTACAGCGGCGGAGGCTACGTCCTGGCGCTGAAGGGCTCTCGCGAGGACCTGTGGCCACGCATAGAGAAGCTCATTGCCGACAACTGGATCGACGAACGGACGCGCGCAGTCGTCGCCGAGTTCTCCGTGTACAACGCCCAGGCGAATCTGTTTGGCATCATCTCCTGCGTGCTGGAGTTTCAGCCCGGCGGCGGCACCATTCCCAACTACCGCATTGACGTCATTCGCCTGATGCGCTACCACCAAGGCTTCGGGCTCTTTGTCATTCTCTGTGAGCTCTTTTACCTCTCCTTTATCGTCTACTTTACGGTGCGCGAGTTTCGCCTGCTGCACGAGCAGGGCAGCATGTACTTCAAGAGCTACTGGAACTGGGCGGAAATGGTGGTCATTGTGCTGTCGTACTTTGCCCTGGCTCTCTACATTTACCGCCTCATTCTCACCAATCAAATACTCTCCGTCTTTGACCAGACACACGGCAATGGCTATGTGAAGCTGCAGTACGTCAGCGCCGTCGACGAGGTTTTCGGCTACCTCCTCGCCTTTATCATGTTCGTGGCCATTCTCAAGTTTATCAAGCTGCTGCGCTTCAACAAACGAATGGGCATTCTCTACGCGACACTCTCACAGTGCTCCAAAGATCTCAAGTCATTCTCCATCGTCTTTTGCATCGTCTTTTTCGGCTTTGTGCAAATGTTTTACGTGCTCTTTGGCTTGACAATGAAGGAGTTTTCATCTTTTGTGGTAAGTTACCAGTACCAAATTGTGGTTCTGTACAAACTTTAAACTATCCAAAATTTTGCAGAACGCCGCCGAGTCAACGTTTGGAATGGTGACGGGCAAGTTTGACTTTGATTCAATGGTCATGGCTGCGCCTCTCCTAGGACCGGTTGTCTTCTTTGTGTTTGTCCTGATAGCCACCATTGTACTGGTCAACATTTTCCTCACGCTCATCATCAGTGCATTTGAAACGGTCAAGCATGATGTAATGAAGCAGGACAACGAGTACGAGATTGTTGACTTTATGAAGAAGAAGCTAAAGAGTCTTGTCGGACTGTACGACTTTTCGCAAGAGACGCGAGAAGTGGTCGACCAAAAGGAGCAAAAGCTAAAGTTGCTGGAGGAGCAGATTGCCTTTCTCCCCACCAAAGTGGACTACTTTCTCAACTTTGTCAACAAGGTGCACTTTAAAGGCCAGCTAAACATCAAGGCAGACCGCAAAAAGTCGACATTTGACGAGTTTGTTGCGGAAAAGTACAACGACCGTACGACCGGTGACAGTGCTGCCAGATCGGGCACCACTGGCAGACCCAATGGAAGGCGTAATCGCCGTCGTTCAAGTGTTCGCAATGAAGAGGCTCGAGCACCCGTTCCCCGAGTGGCCTTTCTCAACTGGAACGAAATAGAGTGAAAGTGGAATCGACTGATCATCCGAAATGGATCACACCTCTTCTCAGTAGCTAACTATTCATTGTTTAGCAGCTTTGCTGGCAGTTGAGCCTTTTGCGTGTTTGTTGTTCACTTTTGCAGCACTTGCTGATTATTATTAGAAAGCACTCCTCAAAAAAGTAGCGCCCGTCAGAGTAGAGATGGATAATATTAAAAAGCGCGGGTGCAGTAGAGTACTGCCATTGGCACGACACGAGTGGGCTCTTGTTTGCACAGCTCACCACAGAGAGTGCAGTGAACGTGACCAGGATAGACAGCTTCCGAATTGAGCGCGTCACTCGTCAGCAGTCATTTGAGCAGCTTCACTATCGTCGTCAATTGTCACCAAGTGGTAGCCTCGACATTAGAAAAGACACTTTCCTCTTGGATCAAGTGTGAATTTGATTAGTTTTTATATGAAATGGCAATGGCAAGCACGTTATTAAAGAGCTTTAGCCACTGAGATGATAATCAGCCGTCAAAGTGCACACAATCATTGCAATGCACTACACCGAGTTGTGTACTTCTGGACGTCTGAGCCACAGAGATTGCTTTGTTGCAAAGATGCAGAAAGTGAGTCTCGGCTTAAATGGAAATTAGATGGGCAGAGTTGCATTTAGGTTTTGATAAACTGCAGTGTTGACATTAGAAACTATACCCGATTCTAGTGAACGAAGCAATTGTCACACTTTTCCATTGGGTGGTCTGAATGGTCTGATTGTTCTCAATTGAAAAATATAACGAAATATACAAGATTACAAAAATGCAAAAAATGTAGGAAATGAAAAGTAAATGGAAAGACTTTTTTCATCGAAAGTGATAGCGGCAACAGCCCCGATATGATCAATTCAGCATAATTTGAGCCAGGTTTTGTTCCAAAATGACCGAACGAACGTCTTTAAAGACGAGCTATTCAATTTAAAGTTCAATTTAAAATGTGTCAGCAAAAAGGCCTCTGTTCTATACTTACGGAAATATTTTCCGTTGACACTGCCGTAGTCCAGTGAAAATACAGTCGTTTTTCTCTGCGAATATGACACTTCGACTGAAACAAGTGGATGAAAAACGATTGAACTTGCTTCAAGTCTGTCGGGTCACCGTGGAATTGGGGAAAGTACAGGTCAATAGTGTCGTTAAATGTGTCTGACTTTTTAGTTTTCATCAAGTGTTTCTTGCGCTCGCGAATGTTTTTTAGCTTTTCGATGAGAAGATCAGTTTTGTTAAAAAATATTATTGATGAAATGGTATTGAATGACTCGTGATTGATGATGGTCTCAAAAATTGCCAATGACTCTTCCAGACGATTTTTGCTTCGTTCTTCCACTAAAAACTGATCATACTCAATGGAAGACACGATAAAGAGAATTGATGAAACGTTGTCGAGACAGCTGAGCCATTTGGTCCGCTGTGCGCGCTGCCCACCAACGTCAATAAAAACAAAGGGTACTCCCTTTATTTTTACAGAAAACTCAATTACGGACTTTGTGGGCACCCTAGAGTGGAGAATATCCGCATTGGTGGGAATGTACTTGCCAGATGAAATT